GGTAGTCACCATTGGGAGAATCGATTGTGTTACTGCGTTGAAGTTAGTGGGAATAGATAGAAAAAGTTAAAAGACTGAACACGAAATCCCAGTGTTCATTTGACACAACAGAATCGAAAACTGCCTGAAATTCTCCCACCCCCACCCCCTCCTCAAACAAAATATTCAAACAAATTAAAGATAAGTTTTCCCCCAACACCTCTTTTTTTCTAAATAAGCAGAGTTCTCTCACTCAGCACCTAAACCCCACCTTAGGTAATATTATTTCAAGTTTAAAGCAAATCCGAGCACACGGGAATTAAACGACCCTCCCCAAAATGCCTTTTTATTTATTCCCTTTCACGTGGATTTGCAAGAAAGAAGAAAGAAAAAAAAAAGTCCGCTTATTTTTCGAATGAATTTCACTGAATGGGCTTCAGGAATTTTCAGGCGATACTAAAACCGGGTGTTGTGTGTGTGGGGGAGAGATTTAAGTGGGTTCTATTCTAATCCATGGACCAAACCCTGATCGAGATATAATTCTGATAGACACACACACACACACACACACACACACACACACAATTTGTGCAGACAAATTAAAGCACACCACTTTTATTTATGTATATATATATATATTAAAAAAACATTCATCGGGTAGGATTTTTTTTTTAAAATTGCGTCAACGTGTTGCCTTAAAAATACAATTATAACTACAGACCAAATCCATTCAGCACTGCTTCCTACGAATTTATTTAAAGCTTGGTTGTTGTACAATCGAAGCCCAGTTCGGAACTAATTGCACCCACCACCCCCTTCCCACCCCTTAAGGATTAAATATCTATGTATAGAACATCTGATACTTAGTACTGAACAGTAACCTCATGTTTAATACAGTGCTGTATTAAACATAAATAATAATATATGCGCGGTCTATGAATACTGTGCAGGCATCGTAATAAATGTTGGTTCTCTGTTTCATTCAAACACACATACATAACCACACATAGAGCTTTAACCTCGAGTTCCAGGGAATACAAACAGCTTTGTGTGCCTTTTGCAATGCACAATGAATACGGAAATGTCCCTTCCTTTTTATATATATATATGACCGGAGAGACGAGACGAGCCAATTCAGGTTTCATTTAACTGTGGCCAAAAGTTTCCTCATTGACTGCCCGTCTTCTCTCTCTCTCTCTCTCTCTCTCTCTCTCTTTCTCTTCCTGTGGTCTTTCTTTCGATAGATTTACAACACGGGCCAACTCTAAACCAAACGTGTTAAGATTCCCTATAAGCCACCCTTTCAGATAATAAAAAGCGAACCCTAATCTACTTGCAGAGGGTTCTGGATTTTTTTTTAAAAAAAAAGCCTGAGTGATATTGCGGGGGTTTGAACATCTAATAAAATGCATCCAAAAAAAATCAGACTGTTTTCCTCCACGTTTCAGTGTGTTTTGCACCCAATAAAAACACTACTGTATCTGTTATTGACCGTTCATATAGATATATAAAACGCATAAATATACAAATCACACATCTTGTGAACAAGGGTGTTTGTATATATTTTTTAAAAAAAACAAATACTACTATTTCGATAGGCGTGAAAATGATCTGACATAACGCACACATAAACGTGAATGCTGTGTACACGAGTCTTTTACACCACATTCCCTCTCGCCACCCACTCCCACAAAACTTTGCACACACACACACACACACACACACACACACAGGTTCACCAGTTACCAAATACTTTCCAGACGCACATAACACACCAGTTACCAAATTTAACAGAGAGCGGGTGGTACCGAAGCCGTCTATATTTTGGAGATAGTATAGAACGCTTTGTTTGCATTGCAGTGGCAGGATGGGGGGGTGGGGGGGGGGGGGGGGGGAACACGAGTAATACATATCTGAGAGGCGAGATTCACTGGATATTGTTTTTAATCAGCAGGCAATTAAAATGCTGTGGTTTAGTTGGGCCGAACTGTTTATTGGGCGCCATTCTCTTACACCAGAGCTCATTCTGCCTCACAGAACCTTCCCCAATCTTACACAAATAACAACAATATTAACTGTGAAATCCAAATAAACTCATCTCGTCGTGTAATGATGTAACATAAAGGGAAAATGCACCGTGTAAAATAGCTGACGAGTCCCATTAGGAAGTTTTAGGCCCGACAATACAATAATAATAATAATAATAATAATAACCCCTGCAGTTGATATAGCGCCTCATCACATCTTCGAGACGTCTCAAGGCGCTTCACAGAATATACTGTAAATGAATTGACTGTAGGGCATATGCGTTTGTGGGCGAAACGGAAACAGTGGCGGCCAATTGCGTGGTGGACTGAGTGATTAATTTGTTTTTACTGCAATATGTAGAGTCAATTCCACACCCATGTATATAAAGGGATGCAGCAGATGAACTGATAGACAGATGGATAGATTGGATAGATATTTAGATAGACACGAATGGGTAGATATCCCCAAGTCCAGCGCTGGTCAGCAGATCCAATCGCAGCCATTAACTCAATTTGGCTCTAAAAACAAGACCAACCGAATGTGGTACCATTAAAAGACCCATTTAAGGGAATTTTCATTTCAGAAGCTTTTCAACACGAGTCTACACACACACACATATATATAATATATATATGTATAACGGTCACGGCATGAAAAACACACCTTACTGTGTTTCCTGCCGAATGTATTGCTGTAGTTTGTGCTTCTCTTCAGATGTCAAACATCGTCTTTTTTAAAACAAAAATGTATATTTTTTAGCTGCACCCACCAACCAACCAGCTTCACCATAAACTCGTATATTTCTATATCCCAAGCTTCCCGGCCCTGTAGGGGATGCGTCTACAATTCTGGGGGAGGCAGTTCGGAAAAGGAACAGTGAGATAGCTTCAGCGATTGGAATTTAAACGTGGAGCTTTCTTATTCCAGCTCTGTGCAGTTTATATCAAAATTCATTGTGAACTCGCCAACACTATGCTTATTCTTCCCCCCAAATCCAGACAGATGATAACAAGGGGGTTGGGGGGGGGGGAAGAGATGGCCATTTTGGAAACTAGCTGTTTGGAAACTAGATATTAATAATAATACGTGATAAATAAAACCCCAACCCTAATTGAAACAGCGTTGTTACATAGGGAGCTGATGGCCTCCAGAGGAATCACTCACCTGCAGTCACTAAACAGCGAGAGCACCTGACAAATAGTCACAACTCACCTCGGGTCGTTTTTGCTCAAAGTTACACGCCCACGAACAGCAAACACGCCCTCAGATTGTGGGGTTTACCTCTCATTGCTACTCTGCAACGTACATAGTGTGCGTTTCATGTCCATGTGTGTAGGTTCGCCTGCACCTGTGTCTATGACGCACACCTACATGAATGCGTTTACTTATTATTATATATTAATGAATCCGGATCAATGTGTGCGTTTACATGTGCACCACGTGTGTACCATGCATAACGTGTACCCACGATATATATGGTGCATTCATTCCGTACATCCATGTGTGTACATGTGCAGTTTACATGTACACCCATGCACTCATATTGCCACACGTATCTTCGTGTCACCTCGGCTGTGTTCGGTGTGGGTGGATCCTGTGTGGTGGTGGGTGTCTGCACGCTGTGTGCCCTGTGGTGGCTGCATGTGTAAACCACGGAAGGGTTTTTTTATTAAACACGTGCAGATCTTCGGAGGAAATGCGAACGTATTTGGAGCCAACTGAAGCTGCTATTAAGCGCATTTTAAACGAGACAGTTTAGCTGTACCCGCGGCCGTGCTGTATTGGAAACTCTTCTACACCCACACACCCCCACACACACCCCCACACACACACACACACATGCATACACCATACCTAGTCCACCTTCGGATACCTGAAACTTAAGATAGCCGTGTTCTTCTATCCTCCCGGTGTCTGCCCTCAATGCAGAGTCCATTTCCCACTCCACACCGACAGTAACTGCCCGTCACGATTCATCACTCTCTCGTGGTTTAAATCTCTCAGACACTGCACTCCAACCTTGCACCTCAACGAGTCTCCTTTATCTGTACACACACACACGTACAGACACACACACACACACGCATGGTCTTAATCCAGATCCACCCACTGGGAAAGGGGAGGGAGGACAGAGATAGGGGGGGGGGGACATCCAGCTTATTTTGCAGATGTCATTTGTTGCATTTCAGTAAAATAAGGAACCCTGCTGATCCCAGGCTGACATCTGTCACTGCTGACTGTACAAGTAAAGAACTCCCTTCCAGAGTGATCTGTGTCCATCTCACGCTCGATTATTCTCGGTATCAATGCACCAAGTTTCACTCACACGAAGGCAGCAGAATGGGAACGGGTTTGGGTAGCTGTAGGGGTGGGGGTTCCAGGAGGAGAGGGGTGGGGGGGGTGGGGGGAAAGAGAAAGGAGGTGACACCCAACGCTACAGGTGTGTTCCAGGTTACAAGATTGCACCCCTCCACCATCACTCCACAGGTGTCGTGTTTGCAGTCCATAGTCGCCCTTATTTAAACGTATGGATACTAAATAAGAATAGTTTCCGTTTTATCAAATCAAATGTAGATCTGTTTGGACCAGGCATGAAAAACATCAGCCATCTTTCCAAAAAAAAAACCCAACTCAACCTGAGGAGTGGGGAGGGGAAGGGTCCATAGGTTGGATAAACGCTTCTTAAAATATTTAAGGTGTAATATCTCTGGTGCTTAAGGAAAGCTGGAGATCAGGAGCCTGATACCTGTCAGTTGCTTCTGAGGGTAATTTTCGCCCAATTAAAAGTGATCGATAATGAAGTATTGGAAACAATCGCTGAGCAAAACTACTCAACAAGAGAAACATTTACAGGAAACACAATAGTCCAAATAGCTTCACCATATAATCCATGAGGCTCATTCACCCAAATGTTAAATCACGTGTTACTAATCTAGATAGAGAAAACTACTTGACTTCATTTTTTTATATATATATAAAAATGCACAAGCTACCTGTGAAAATTGACTTAAGGGCACAGGGTTTTTCTTCCTGGGTCTTTCGGGCCTGTGTATGGAGAATCTGTAACAGAATAAAAATGAGGATTTTGTTTTACCCCTGTGTTGACTTTTTGCATCAGTTAGTACAGACCCATCGCCTCTAGGTTATAAGGAACAACATAGGGGTTGGAGAGTGTGGGTTGTGCTTGGATTCAACTCAACTTGCGATGGATCTGAGACCAATGGCCCAAAATCGCTCCCTTCAGAGCAATGTTTTTTCTCTGTAATCTAAGATCCGTCTAATTACGAAGCGTTTTTTTGTAGTTGGCTGGAAGGCAAGGCGAGGTCTAACATTCTTTTGGAGAAACAGCGCCATACGTTATTGTTTATTTATATATATATATTTATACAAGTAAATGCTTAGGCACAACAGCAAAGATTATTTTAGATACATCTCAGAGAAAGAAAGCTAGTCTTCCAAACAATTTCCAAATCTCCTTACTCCATGTTTCTCCTGCTGTCTACACACACACACACACACACACACCAATATTGGGTCATATTCAATGTGAATACACTTTTAATAGGATTTCACCACCTCCCGGAGATGTGGTGCTGAATGTATGCATTATAACTATAACCCACTGAGCATAAAACTCACTCATGAATTATCAGGTCAGATCCCTGGCGGGATGAAATGCCCCACTTATAACTTCAGAATAGATTTGTCACTGATACAATACTGGTAACTAACTGCTTAATGCCCCAGTTTCAGTGCACAGTTTGCATCGATTTCTAAGAACATAAATTTAAAAAATGAATTGGATACGCATCTGAAGAGGAACAGTTCAAAAAGTAGGAGTGAAGAGGAGGGAATTGGGATTAGAGTGTACAGAACCAATGGAGGAACTATCGCCATCATCGTGTCGATGCTCAGAATATCTGCCTCCTGTGCTGCCATTTCTCGGATTCCACCCAGTTTTTGTATTGAGTGGACACAAAAAACGAAGCGGAAACTGGGAAAGAGTGTTAAGGTACTGCTGACAAGAATGTTTGAACATTCCCAACTGACGCATCTTTTACATCTTATTGAAAAGCCAATTTCGACATTTGTCTGTTTCATTACATTAAATTTAACAGCAGATAGCAGTTGCACGTGTACTTAGTTTCATAAGCACCAATCTCTCTCTCTCTCTTCCTTGAACCAGTCCTAGTTCCAATCCCACTGTAAAAACCACATCCGATTCATTTCTCAACAACCCCGTACTCGGACAGGTGACCTCACAACTATGTACCTATTCAAGCTGGACTGCTCTACCCAACAGGGTTTGGGCTGGCAAAGTTGAGGACGTGTCCACACCTCTAAGTCTCAACAAAGAGCCAGACAGGCTGGTCTACCATCAACACTGCCTTGGATTACTGCTGAGCCCAAGTACCAGTTCTGATTACATTGTTCAAAATGGTATTTTACAACTTGCAAGCCACTTTAGCCAGGCTTCCGAGACACAAGTTTGTGTTTGTACACATCATCATGATCACCACCTTAAAGACAAGCTCTGTACCCATGTCATACAGATCTACATTAACTAAAGGTTTAACAGTAAATTCCCCTCAAAAGCCAACCTAAGTCATCGTGCAATCTTCCCACTACTGTACTTTACAGGCAGACGAGGTTTCTTAGAAAATATTTTGTTAAATGTTTTTTTTTCTGATTCCTAGTCACTTCATTCCGCATCAGATACACAGCAAAATATACTTGAAACGCTTTACGTTAGTTTATTGCAGCCTGTACTAGCTGGGAATTTATTAGACAATAAACCTATTGAATTATCTTTGTTGCCTTTTCAGATTGGATCTTGCAAGAGCTCCACTAGAAATTATTCCGCATAATAGTAAGTGTGTTAGAGCACACTACAGCCTTCATTGATAGGGATCTGCTTTTTTAATTTATGTATTTATTTATTTATTTATAATAAAGGTGATGTGTTGTAAGAGTTTAAGATCATTTATTATTTCCCTTGCATTGTTGGTGCTCCGATGTGAATGCTTAATTGGTACATATTAACTTTGTAACAACGAGGCTAAATAAATACAAGCACAATTGTCAGCTAATAATGTACATAGTGAGCACAGATATATATAGACAGTCTGTGTATAGATTTGATAATATGTGTATAGATTGCTTAGTATGTAAATAGGGTAGATGGTATTTGTAGCGGTTAGATGGTATGTGTATTTGTTAGACGGTATGTGTACAGGTTAGACAGTGTATAATTATAATGTATATACATGTCTATAATCTGTACATATTAATTCATACAGAATGTTCTAACTATCTATCCAACACGCATGCACATGTATGTATGTGTGTTTGTGTATATGTGTGTGATAGAGTTAGATTAAAATAGGATAGACAGTTAGCTAGCTAGCTAGATAGATAGCTAGATAGATAGATGTAGAATTTTACAATTACCGTCCAGCATTGTACAACAGACTGCATAGACAATATCTATTGTTTTATAGAGTGTGTAGGAAGCCAGAAACCAACTCCAATGCAAATCACAACTGCTACTTTAATTTCTTTTTTTTTATTTAAAGAAATCTGGATTCTACCGCGGCATAGGGGTTTGGCGTATAAAACCTCGCTGACTTCGATTCGAGTCATTTGCTACCAAGTGCAAGTGGTAAAAATGGCAACTGGAGATTGTAGAAATTCTCCAAAACCCTAGCTGAGTGGCTGGCGCCTGCCTCTCATCGGCCGACTACAAACAACAGGACCTGGTAGGTATCAGAGACTCATGCCCATCCACCATCGCCATCAGCACCACCAGGCGGTTTAGTAATCAATTCTATATTTTTTTGAGAAAAAAACTAAGACGGTGCTCGGAGACGCTTTCTGTGGGTGTCTTGGTTTGGTTTGGTTTGGTTTGATTTGGCGAGTAGCGCAATGTTACTAAATGGTTAATACAATCCAATCCAATGATATATTTGAAAACATATATGAATTCTTATGTACCAATTATAGACAGCAATGCACNTTTTTTTTATAGACACGGGACATTTTATGGACAATGTTCACTGCCATCCGTGACAAGTCACTTTATATGCACCGTGGGCTTCTGGAAGTGTAAAAAAACTTCATAGAACTGTAAAAGGGAGTCTTCTGACAGTCTATAAAAAGGGATAATGTATGGATGATGGTAACGCGATGGCTCAAAAATGCTCAATTTCTTACCGAAGTAACTGTACCGAGGGCAGAGATCGAGGGCAGAAAAAAAGGGTGGATTTTTTGGGGAAAAAAAAATGCACATTTTTAAAAAGTTCTCAATAGAAGCCGGAAATGGGGAAACGGTTCACGTGGCCGTCGTTGTGGAAATCGAGCTGTTTTAACCTAAAACATCTATCCTGCGCCCAAACTCCTAAGGATAGCACCAACAGGCAATGAACCCACAGCAAAATTTCAAACCGAGCCCATCAAGGCTCACGTTGGACATACACATCTCTCGATAGCTCCAGTGAGCTAAACACACACACACATACACACACACACGGTGCAAAACCGTACAGACATAACATATCTCTCCACATTAATCTACGTGTGCAATGCAGGAATATTTTGCGCTGTTGAGACGCCAGCCACATTTCTATTTATAACCCACACTAAACTGTAAACCCATGTCGTGTTAATCAAAAATATGATCAGTCGCTCTTTCCCCCCTCTCTTTCTCTGACCTGAGGCGCACATACTTACAGTAGTCTGCATTTATAACGAATAAAATCACACACACACACACACATAGAGGAGAGAGAAAGAAAGAGAGAGGGATTGAATGAGAAAACCTTAAAAATGTGGGCAGACTAGAAGAATCGGAGTCGACATTTCTAGCCAATTTGGGATGAATTTAGAGTTTTCTCTTCTAGAAAAGGCGGAGGTGTTTTTTTTTTTGTGTGGACGTTTTAGATTCTTAGAAAATGCCAAGGTTTAATGGCAAGTTGTTGCGCGTGTTATTCGGATAACAATGTACCTGTATTGTCTGAAAGTCATCTATTCCTTTTTTGTATAGATAGGTAGAGGTTTAGGTCGAATTTTGCCCCCCAACTCACTCACCATTGAAAGCAGTTTCCCGTGTTGTAGTTACATCTCTGAATACCTCCTTACATTTGCTTTGTGAATGAGGGATAATGCACCATCATGTGAAAGTCAGATGGATGCCAATCATTCACACTGGCGTGGACAGGGTTAAATCGTGCTATGATGTAACATTTTCTCGCTAATATTACACAATCTATATAACAGATAGGTATAGATATAAAAATAAGATTTACCTTCAATAAACAGCCTTCCATTTCCGTAAATATCTGGAAAAAAATGTTGGGACAATTTTCAATCAGAACTGGAGACAAATACAACCCTGAACACGCTTTTACAGGACGGTAGAAACACACTAAATAATGAGCCTCTATCCGTTATATACACAGCGCTGAGACCGACTGTAACTCCATAAAACTGAAACTCATGGAACTGATCGATACTGTACGATAGATGTTCAAGAAATCACTGTCATTTACACAATAAAATGCAACTTAGTCAAAGCACAGAAACCCATAGACATCAAAATAGCTGCAATACGTTTGCAGTAATCACAAAAAAGATTTACATGTACAAATTCTAAAATGATATATATCATATTTTTACATATGAAAATATATAAAGCATTTCGGCTGTGATGTTTTGTAGGATTATTTCCCGAGGGCCTTATTCGACTGCAATGAAATCTACAACATTTTAAGCGAAGAAAAGTGTCAGATCTCCCAAGTCAATTTTGTACCTGTTTCAGACACCTGAAGTTTTGTGGAGAATTATTCGCATTTGATCTGCTTGCTGCAGAATAGACTGAGCGACCTAACCGGAGAGGGAGAGGGTGAGAAGAGGAGAGGGAGTGGGAATGAGTGGGAGACAGAGAAGAGAGAGGAGGGGAAGAGATAGGAAGGTAGAGAGAATGAGGGAGGGGAAGAGAGAAAAAGGGAGGGGAAGAGATGGGAGAAATGGAGGAGGGGGGAGGAGGAGGAGGGGGAGAGAGAGGGGGAGGGGAGTGGGGGTGGGGGGTGAAAGGAGTAGGGAAGAGAAAGAGAGAGCGATAGAGAGAGAGAGAGAGGGGATGTTCTAGGGAAGCAAAGGATCACAAAAAGGCACATGGAGACAGAGAATGTAACACCTCAAGCTAAAGCCTCGCACCCATTACCACATTATTTCCCACTGTTTGGGTTAGGCTTCCGGAGGCAAATGGTACAACTCAAAGGCAAACCAAATATTCCCTTTATTTTAGGCGAATTGCAGTTAATCTGCTTTGCGCATCATCTTGCCCTGGACCACTGGCCAAAATGTCCCACCTTTGCGCCCGCCCCCAAAAAACTTCAATTCCGATTTCAGCCCCAAAATGTATTTACAGAGAAATGTCTTTAGCACATAACTCACAACTAAAAGAAAGCGTAGATTTATAGAGTCTAAAGGCTGATTATCAAATGAGACTATATGTATTACATATATATATATATATGTATATGTATATAACATCTCAAACTAAAGCCTCGCACCCATATCACACCATTGCCCACTATTTCGGCAAGTATTTCGACAGACTGTATACCCAACACGCTGACAGGAGCACATTTAGGAGAATGTAAACAGTATCATCAAATTTCACATTCAATATTATAAGTTGCCTTTACACTTGACTTTCAATTGTATATCCCTTTATTTTGTGCCACATCCCTAGTACTAGCGGATATGTAAATAATAAACAGTAATATCTATTGATTTGCACAGGGTAATGTACCTCAGGGTGGGGGGTGGGGGTGGAATAAATACTTTGATTACATTTCCAGTGGAAATCTTTAGCAATTTGGCTTCACAGAGTAACACATCTGTATCCAACACCCATTCAATTTGCTATGTTATCCATAATACTAATTTGAACCACAGAAGCACCATCATAACCTGCATTGAAACTGATTTGGAGCCATTCAAGTCACCGGTTAGATACCCTAAAAAAAATTGTCGGATTGTTTGACTAAAAAAGCTGCTTTAACAGAGGCGATGTGGAGAGTCGGTGGCAGCTGGAGACGAAACGGCAATGATAAGGCGATTGGAAATGATTCGGGGGCAGTCCGACAGCTTCCAATAATCAATAGAGAAAAGTTTTTTTAGGCGTTTGATTAATTACCTGGTCACTGGATCCTTTAGCTGCTCAGTCGGAGGCTAAGTAGGCCCACAGACTGAGCCAGAGAGAGAGAGAGAGAGAGCCTCCACTGAGGCTTCTCACTCTCTGGGTAACTGTGTACAGTGCACATCTCGCTCTCTCTCATGTCTTCTGTACACAAACGGGGTGTTTTTACAGTATTATATAATTATATTGCAGGAATAACCAGGGCCTTGCTGTCAATACTCTTGGTTTACAAGGAGAGAGAGAGGGAGTTAATATACCCACAACAGGAAGGTATGCACCAGAGAGAAGCCTTTCATTGAGTCAACCGATGGCTGAATGCATTTGGTCCAGACTCTGTTACACTAACACATGCACCTTTAAAATACGCGTTTATCTACACTTAGACTGCACGTTAATAATGTGTTATAATGTTATTTATTAATTTTAAATAAAAACCCAGAGAAACATTAAGTTCACCAAACGCATCTCTCTATATATTATACATAGATATAAACGTGCACTCACTCACACACTCACACACACACATACGTTCGCTGTATATTCGCAATCCATTGCATTTTTCTTACCTTTTTGCGTATGTTCTTTTTTTTAAAATTCCACCACAGTTTTAAGATCGGAGGAGAAACAGCAAAGCAGAAAAGCCGCAAAATCGCGAAAAAAAAATAAACGAGGCGACGCTGAAACGTGGTGTGACTTTAACACGGGTTGGACTCAAACCCACATCTTGACTTGAAAAACCATTTATATCTACTTGCATATATATTTTTTCTCTCTCTCTCTCTCTCTCCCTCTCCTTTTTTTTTCCCCCCCAAAAAAACCCCGATGGACAAACGCCATTCTAACTAACATCTTTCTCGGTTGATGATCCAAGCACGGAATTGCAAACGGTAGTGCGGAATACAAATAGGGACACCTCTTTTGAAAACTTGATCAACCCATCTCCTTCTGCCTCTCTTTCCCTCTTGACTACAAATGACAGACTGAGTCAGAATACTTAATTTCACACGTTACCTCCAGAGAGAGAGAGAGAGAGAGTGTGTGTGTGTGTGTGTGTGTGTGTGTGTGAGAGAGAGAGAGAGACAGAGAGAGAGAGAGAGAGGGGGGGCTTTTTTTTTTGTCTTGCCTCTTACAAGCAAGTGACCTCGAAATATTGAACCCAATAAAACAAGTCAAAATCAAGTTCAACAACAAGCCGAGAGAAATTATCATAATAATATGTCTAGGGAGAACAGAGGCTTGTCAAACAGTTAAGTCTAGCGTCACGGCAGCGCGGAATCCAATCCCGAGAAACATTTTCCCATGAACTGATAATTATTAAGACAACGGAATGTGTCAAAACAGCCAACGTTCGGGGGCCGAATAACTTTCGCTCATGTTTCGTGAGTACTGTAGATTTTTTTTTTATTTTGGATAGAACACACGTTTTGTACATTTGCACAGAGTCAACTTTAGATGTGTGTGTGTGTGGGGCGGGGGTGGGGGTGGGGGGGGGGGGGGGGGGGGGGTGGGGGGTGGGGGGTGGTGGGGTGGGGGGGTAAGAGGTGGGGGAGATTATATCAATTTCAAAGACAGGACGAGGCAGGCAATAATTAAACGAGTGAATTAGCAAACTTTTTTTCCCCCAATGCTTCCCCCCCCCCCCCCCTCTCTCTCTCTCTCACTCTCTTACGTTTCTTAATTGCACGCGCACACATGTACAATATATATGTATATCCACACACAGAACAGCAGACGCACATATAACATATACCGTGTGTATAAGACGTGTTATATACAGCATATACATAAATATTTGCGTGTGTGTGTTTTTGTGTCTTTAAATGCAAAGATAATGTTATCAGTGTAACGCTTTCTTGTGTCCATTGACAGGTTTACCCCCCCCCCCCACCCCAAAAAAAAAAAAAAAATTGCCAATGAAAAAAAAGTGTGTGAATAGGGTAACGTTACTTACAAATGATGGGTCTGTCCACTTACAATGCTGAACTCGTAAATTCCGGTCCTTGAATAACCAAACGTTGAGACGGTATTTTTTGGGGGGAGTGGTGGGGGGGGGGGGGGGGGTTGGAGTGGTGGAGTGGGGGTGAGGGAGGGAGGGAGGGGGGGGTGGTGAGGATGGGTGGTTGTGGGGGTGGGGGGGGGAGGGTTGAGGGGGAAGAGAGAGAGAGAGAGAGAGAGAGAGAGAGAAGAGAGAAATTCCTTGGTTGAGTTGATGTAGTTCTCTCATCTTGGCTGAATTGTCTTCGCTTAGAGAGAGAGAGAGAGAAAAAAAAAACCTTTGCATCCCAAGAACATTAAGTCTGCTTGACCGGCAATGAGATTGGGGCAGGAGAGAACTACAGCACAGACACACACACACACACACACAGAGAGAGAGACAGACACCCACAGACAAACAGACAGACAGACACAACTCTTCCCCCCCCCCCCTCACAACTCCCCCCCACCCTCACTCCCCCTCCTTTTCTCCCTCGGACTAATTCTTTTCTCACAGAACTTGGTGCTCGGTGACTTGGGAGTCCGTCGTGGAATTCAAAGTCCCGAAACCCGGACTGTGAACGTGTCCTGAAACCCAAAACGAGCCAAAACCCTCCGCTCATTGTGCCACTGAATTGATGCCCATTGTTCAACCTCTGTGTGATCCGCTATTCCTTCACGCCTTGTACTCCCCACTCATTTCGGCTCATGGAATAAAATATGGGCCAAGAGAGACGTGGCTCTCATATATATATATATACATATATATACATACACATATATATATATATATATATAGGCAAAAGGAAAAAGGAGGAGAGTGGAATTTTTTTTTGTTGTAAAGGAGCGATAGCGGTCGATTTCTCGCTAAGGATTTTTCTTCCCCCCCCCCCCCCCCCCCCCCCACACACACACACTAGACATGAGCTGGAACAGATAATAATGACTTGACTTCCAAAGGTTCACTTATTTCTGGATAATCTACTTCTCTCGATTAATCCAAACTTTTGGCAGTGCCTAAATGAAGCAATAAGTGATGGACATTTAAGTAAGATCTCTCCCCCCCCACCACCCCCACCCCCACACGCCCCCACCCTCCCTCCCTCCCTCTCTCTCTCTCTCTCTCCCCCTCCCTCCCTCTCCATCTCTCTTTTCCCTCCTCTCTCAGTCTGTCTCTCTTTCTCTCTCTCTCTCTCTCTCTCGCTCTCTCATACTCTCGGCCACCGTCCAAAACACCTATAAAATGTTCCCTTTCACCTGATCCATGGCTTTCCAATAACCTGATATATATATATATATATATATATAGATTTATATTAAAAAAGCAAGAAAAATCTCATTGCGTGCCAGAATGCACTTGACTGCAACTGATACCCAACGTCGCATATTCCAGCCAACGTGATTTGAGATCTTTCCTTTCTTTCTCCCCTTCTCTCTCTCTCTCTTTCTCTCTCCTTCCTGGGTTCCCCCCCCTAAGAAATACAGACCAGGACCGAGATACAGGGCTCTAAATTCCAGTAGTCAAGACCCCGGGCAAGTGCGTGTCAAAACGCCTTTGAAATAAAACAAATGTTTCTGATCCAAACAGACAGTGTTGTAAACCGAGCTTTGGGTCACATTACCTTACGTGGGGTTAAATTGATGCGTCTGCTGTTTTGTATGCATCTGGATTTGACTCGATCACGATCCACCACCCCCCCCCCTCTTCTTCTCCTCCTCTTCTCTCTCTCAACACACACACACACACCGAAAAAAAAATCCTACATTTCCATAAACATTTCATGTGGAGAGAGACAGAGAGAGACAGAGAGAGAGACAGAGAGAGAGCATAAGATTATTCCCCCCCACCACCCCCTAAGGATGGAGGTCTTCTTCTTCTTCTTCTTCTTCTTCTTCTTCTTCTTCTTCTTCTTCTTCTTCTTCTTCTTCTTCTTCTCCCACTCCCTCCTCCCTCCCCCCACCCCCCCAAAAAAACAAAAATGAAATCAAAATAGGCGAATGGAACTGGGCAGAAAATAGTCTCTCTCAAATTCGCCCACGTTTTTTTTGAATACGCGTTTGCGTCAGCCCTTGCGTGACAAGTTCAAGTGCTTTGACATTATAAATGCTGTCTTATTCTTGTTGGCGTTGTTATTACTTGTGCTATGTTAGGTATGCAATCAGACAACATGCTTTTAGGAGATGCATCACACATCACACACACACACACACACACACACATATATATATATCAGCAGTGTAATTTTTAATGAATCATAAGTCACTTAAAATACATTGATCATACCAAAGCCAATTCAATCTTGAACCCCTCAGCACTCGAGAACCGACCCGTGCACAGGTTTGGATTAAAATATTCCGATCAGCTCAGATTGAAATATGTTAATTATTACAAAGACGCCTGATATTGTTTGGGGATGGAACCCTCTCTCACTCACTCACTCACTCACTCCCTCTCTCTCTCTCTCTCTCTCACTTTCCCTCTGTTCTGTTGCCAATTTAAATATATATACCCCACACCCAGCACCAAAAAAAAGATTGTGCTCTCACCCTCTCTGTTAACAATTTCGACTGCAGTTGTATAACCCCCCCCCGACAGTGAAATAATCTGTTAACTTGAGAAGCAAAGTACAGTATAACGCAATGTGAATAAAACCCATATATACTATAAAGGGTCGAATCCAGATTTTCAATACCCCAGTCCTTTATTGTAGAGATTTCGAGAGCTGGGCATCTGAATTAAAAGATATATCAAATTAAAAGATATCGCGAAAGCCCCATGTCATTTTTATGGATAATTATATTGACTTTTTTTTTCCTGGGAATTGTTTTTTTTTCTGGGGAAAATATTCCAATTCCAATCGTGGCCATATTCACGAAAGGGTGAAGTTATCCCGGAAATGTCCAGTGGCTTTGGTGAAGTTACATTAAAAAAAAATAACACACACTCTGCGATTAATTTAGCGTTTGATTTCTTCTCTCTCGACACCTAAAAAAAAAACATCTAAGAGGTGTATAATGAATGCTGTACCTTTTTTAACCTCATCACTGTTCGCAGCCAGATTTCTGGTGTAGCACATCGGGAAAAGCACTTTGCAAAAGAAAAATCTTCTTACAAGATTTGTTTTAACATTTGTTGAATATCTTAAACTAACACTAACCCCCCCCCCCCCCCCCCCCCACCACCACCCCCCAAAAAAAGGCTGAGAGACCATTAAAAACAACCAGACGCCACCCTGGACTGCACTGTCCATGTCCTCTCTCATAACCTGACCCTGAATAAAATAACACAATTATATTCACAATTTCTTTACAATTCTGCGATTTTTAAAAGACTAGGAAGAAATCATTGATAACAATACACTCAAAAATACTGATATCTACATGCGTATATATTTTCATTTTATACATAATGTGAGAAACAAATATTTTGAATGAATTCTTAAGTACTTTCGATACAATGAAAGAAAGATGTGAGTGCATGTTTTATTTAAATCATACAATACATCATTTGCCGGACTCCTAAGCCCCCCAAAAAGAATCCCACCTCAACACACACACCCATCTTTACAAAGATTATCTTGACAACATAACGCTTTATATTTGTCTGAACTTGTTGTTCTTGTATAAAATATTCAGGCAATACAGTAAAGTGTTTCATGTACACGAAAACGTAGTATACAGTAGAAAGACACAGATGGGAATGAATTAAAAATGTAAAACCAAACTGGCGATTTTTCATTTTCATTTATTTTATTCCAAACCTGATTGATTTTAACTGAAATAAGAGCGAGAGAGAGAGAGAGAGAGGGAGAGAGAAGGGAGGGAGAAATTAATTTTCCATTTTGTCCCAAAAAAACATGTTCTCTTCCTTTTCATATGTTAATTCTTTCATAAACACACACACACAACTTCAAAAGGATCTTTTGGTGACATGTTTGGTGGGTTTTAATCAACAGTCACACACACACACACACACACACACAAAAACTGCTTTCATTTCAGAAATTATTTGCTCATCTCCTTCGTTTGATTTTGCGCC